TTATGCAATCGGACATAATTGTTTAAATGTACAAATTTGAACTTACTTGTGTATTTATTGTAAGATTTGAATCAGCATTAATGTAATTTACCATCTAAAATATAATACCTAAATATTTTTTGGAACAATTATTCATTTTATGGAACATTTTGGCCCTCCATGTACAGTGGTGCTCCAAAGTTTACATACTCTTCCATCAAAGACAGAAAACAAATCAGCTGCCGGTAAACTAAATTGCAGTTGACAAAAGTAATAGTAAATAAAAATTATAACACAATAGAAATCAGGAAATTGATTTTGAATAAAGAAACATGCACACATACATATGTATATATTAATAAGTAAAAGAAGCAAACAAGCATTTATGGAGCTTCTGGACTAAAGTTTTGTTGAACATTTTGAGGCAATTACTGAAATCAGGTGTTTTCTGTAATGTTCAGGATTTTTTCAGTAAGATCTCTGCAACTGTTGACAGGTATGTTGGTTCCTTGATCATGAGTAAAGTGCTTTAATTTGTCTCAGTTTGTTTTTTCATTTATTTTAAACAAAAATAAAAAAATCAGATTTCATTTTACTAAATTATCCTTTAGTAAATTAGTAGTTATTTATGTTTTCATTTTCGTGATATATGAATTATTAGTGAAAATGTTTAATTTTCTTTGATGGGAGGGGGGAATGTACACTTTCAAGCACAACTCCATCTCAGGGATCAGTGATGATCCACAGGGCTACATGATTGGGAGGCATCAAGCATTAAGAGAAAATAGTCTAGCTTTCCTTCTAAACATCCTTGTGAGACTTATAGTTAAGATTAAGATATCCTAACAAGAGATGTGTAATTTTCTTTGAATTATCATCAATGATAAGAATTGCAATTTCTTATTTTATGAAAAACAAATTCTAATAAACTTTTTTTTAACAGGTTGTATTTGTTCCTTTGAGTAACTAAAAGTTCTCTCGAGACGGTCAATTTATAACTTCATATATAAATAGAAACCATTCAATCTAAATAATAATAACTGGCTGCCTTAACAGCTGCAAGGATTTTGACGGACCAAAAAAAAAAAAAAAAGGCAACATGATTTTTGGAAAATGATCCCGTTCTGTTTAGCAGCCAATGAGCTGCTGACCCACCACCTCCTAAAGTATTAATTGCCATTTCTAAAAAAAGGAAAAACCTGAACATTTTAGATTCCAGACAAGCCACAAAGTGCAACAAGGGTTTTCTTTTAGGGCACACATTATGCAATGTGATATGCCCCCACATTAACAAAGGGCGAAGAAGGACGGAGGCTGCCAGGGAGTCTGGCTTGCTGCATGATGCAGGTACGATGTCAACCTCCGGTTTACAAATCACCTTCCCGCAGCATGCATAAGAGAGAGCCTTGCAATATGACTCGAACAGACTGATGGCTTTAGCAGATAGGAAAAAGTGAGAGTGAAAAATAACTTGAATTCAATCATGAGCTGCTCCAACGTCCGGAGCAAATGTGTGAGAAACATTAGTAGGCCATAAGGCTGGTGGGGCTGCCAGCTGATGAGCCTGCCCTGGTTCTGCAGAGCAGCTGAACTCACGACCACCCCCACCAAAAAGAAACAACACACGCATCTCTAATGACATTTTGTCATACATTTGCCTCACCTTAGTGTATGGTTAAAATAATATGAGGTTTCAAGAGGAAAATGGGTCAGTACTACTCATACAACATCTATACAGTCTATAAAAAAAGTGTTTGCTTCTGAAAACTTCCTCATTGCACATCAGAAGTATTTTTTGCTTACTAATGTTGTTTACTTGAGAAAGAAAATCACTGCCTTAAATGTTTCAAGAGGTGGAAATGCAGAATACATAAAAAAAACAAAAAAAACAAAAAACAAAACAGGTTTTCACATCATTACGTGAAACAAGCAGTTATCGCCTAAAGGCAGACTAAATGAGGCCTCCTGCCAAAAGCCTGGATTGATTTTATTTTACCATATTACCTCAACTTTCAGACAAGTTGTTAATACTGATATCTTTAATAATTGCTTTCTTTCTAGAGCAGATAAAATTCTGGCTCCCACAGATGACAAACAATCACTAAACCTATTGATTGCAGCTCTTTAAATATGATGCAACCATGTCCATACATGCTGCCATTCCACCCGCACCCCAATGAAAGAGACAAGAGCCGTCAGAGGATCTAAGTGACAAGACTACAAGAGGGAATAGAGTACTAGACCATCAGCGAGAAGGTGACGACTGCTGGCGCAATAATGGGAAAAAGGAAGAAATGGTAACAGATTCTTTGCAAGATCATAACTCACAGAATAAGGAAGACGACTAGAAGGGAGAGTAATCGGTCCACAGACGCATGTGAAGGAAGGAAAGAAGGAATGGATCTACTTTAAATTATCTATGTTTGGTATTTTGGACCATGCTTCTGCAAAAGCAGATATTTTCAACACTAGGCACCAGAACTGTTACATTTTTCATCACAAATCGAAACATATTTACAAACCACAACATATAATTCAAGAAATAATCACTCTGTGCAAATTATTACTTTATGGCAAAAATATTGCACGATAGCCATGATTCTTCTTTTTCAACAAAAACATATTAACAGTAATCTCCAGACCCAAACATTGAGCAGACATCTTTGGCATGTTAACTTATTACACATTAGCTACACAGGCAAAGCGTGAAGCAACATGACTGCATCTTTTAATTTAAACATTCATGTGAAGGTTCAGATAAAGTCAAAATAACACGGGTATTAAATCTAAAAGCTGGCATCTGAAACTCAGGCTTCCTCAAGGTCGAAGCAGTTTTTGTCCTCAAACACAACGAGCATGACAATCAAGACAACACAGGCAAGAAAAGCTTTGTTAAGGACCTGCTGGCTGTCCGCATCTCTGCTCATCTGGGGGTGTTACAACAATAGTGGCAGTATTTGGGACAATAGTGATGAACTAGATTGTTAGAAAATACATTGATTAGTAGGTCATGTTTTGTAGTCATTGTGTGACTCAGACAATCCGGGAAAACTAAACAAACTTACTTCATGGCAGGGTTTCTAGGTTGTGATTTGTCATTTTCAAAACCTCCACTAAAACGAGTCCAATGAGTCCACTAAAATGGGCTGACAACATTTCACACTATTTTAGCTAAACCCTCAGGTATTTTCAATAGCAGCAGGTAAGGCTAGAGCAACCAAATTCCAAAGTAAGAACTTACTATGAACGCATGACAATTTCTATTGAGGTCAGAATCAAGATGTAGATAAAAAGAAAAATTGATGGATAGATTCACAAAGTTCAGCTATATGGAAACCTGAGAAAAAAAACAATTAAAAAAAATTATTGGATAGGCGCTTGAAAAGATGCACAGATAAAATAAAATAGTTGAAAAGATGTCCAAATTTTCATAAGTCTCACTGAGCTGGGGGAAAGAAGGATGGATTTCCCCCCCCCATAATTCAGTTTCTCTATCCATACTTATTCATACCTGAAAACAAAATTAAAATGGACAATTTCATATTTTTTCAAAGCTACATAGAAACCCTTTGGTTAAAAAAAAAAGAACAAAACAAAAAAAAGCATCTAATCTGGTGTATGATCATAGGGCAGCTATGCTCACTCCTTAGAGTCCCTCAAAAAGTAGAAGCTGCAGCCTTAAGCTGGTCCCTTGGGGCGGTGGCAGCAGGATTTTCAAAAGCCTCATCATCAAAGAGAGGCATACAATCCTGATTACAAACGGCTACTTATGTTTTACGTTGCTGGAACTATAATAATAACATAGGAGGCTGTAAGAGACAAAGAAACAATAACTGGAAATGAGGGGAAAAAAGGAAAAAGATTGATTAAAGTTATACAAAATATTCTAAAGAAATTTAAAGGATTAAAACCTGTCCATTAGGTGTGAATATGTCAAACGGGATATGATGAGAGCCTAGTGTTGTTCTCGACCAGGTCAATGCTGAATGGGTAACAAGGCTAAGACCAAAGACACCAGTAAGTGATTGCAAGATGAACCCATCTTCCCCCTCCTGGTATCTACTGCATGCAGGCAGCTGATCAACTCCCCTCAGGGAGCGTAAAGAAGTGGTCCTTATCTTCCTCCTAAAATCCAAACAGCTAAGAGAATGTGCAAACTAAGAGAGGCTTAACATGCTGTGGTAGATGACAAGGTGTGCCAGTTGCCAGGGGGGTTCTGGGGGGAGGTGGGGGGTTTTGCCCATGAGCAAGGCCTGACACCTGCTGGCTGCAGCACTCATCAATGTCCTGCTGCCAACAGGGAGCCAGCTTTGCCACCAAGAGGGCTGTCAGATACTGGGCGTGGGGGGCAGCAGACACTGTAAAAGGCAGGGTGGCACAATGGATATATGGCTGGATTATAAATAGAAAGTAGGAAGAGGTATTTCTAGAGCTAACTTAAGAATAAACAAAAAATACATCAAGATATTTAGAAAATATTCTGACAATATTGTAGATTTCCAGCCATGCAATATAAAAACATACATGCATTAGTTATAACGTTAAGTTGAAATTATGAGTAATTTAATTAAATTTGACTTTGTCTTGTTCTTTGCTGGTATGTTCTTTGCTGTATGAAACATGAATTGTCGGTAATAATCAGAAATGGGTTAACGGTTCTTGTCATGTAGCGAGACGCAGTTTAAACTGTAGCATCTTTAGCAAAGCAGCCAAGCCATTCCTGTTTCCTCCCAACGGTTTTTAGAGTTACATCCTTCGTTTTGGCATATATATGCAGTAACCCGAACCAGCTGTAAGTGCTCTAAGGTTTAATACGAGGTGACATTTGATTTCGGAGGGAACGAGAGCCGAGCTGCGGAGCTAACCAGCAGAGCTAGCTCGCCTAGCATGCCTCAGACAAAAGCCTGAATGAGGCTAAGTTCTATCGGCTGTAAACTGCATCCAGGTGCCGCAGTTCAGCCGGAAAAATAAACCCTCTGACATTCGAAGACCCGTCAAGAAAACGGCGTATGTGTGCTTACCCCTCCTGGTCCAGCTTTAATTTCGAGTGTAATCTGTTTGAATGGGCTGTTATATTATGAGCAGGGCGTCCCTTTCCGGGGTCACATCCCTCCAGTCGGCAGAGCTACGGAGGACTGAATCAACCAGCAATTGGACCTGCGCTAACGCTGGATTCCGCTTGGGGCGCTACCAACCACACGTCAGAACCTACCGCTCTGGTATGGAAGCAAATCGTTACCATATTTCTGGAAATTCCAAATTTCCAAATTTTACATTTCAAATTAAATTTTGGTATATATTTGCTGCGGTACATTTTGAAAAATAAATCTCAAATGTCTTATTCTTTTTCATTTTAATTAAGTAAAAGGATGAGCAGTCTTGAAGAAGAAAATTAAAATGCAAATAGGATGATTGATTACTAATCATATTTATGAGTCAAGTAATGCAGCCACATTCTTAAAATGAAATAGCTTTTCTGGAAAGGCTTTTTCATTTTCAAATTTTACATTTGAAATTGAATTTTGGTATGTATTTGCTGGTATGGTTTTGGTATGTATTTTGAAAAATAAATCTCAAATGTCTTTTTCTTTTTCATTTTAATTAAGTAAAAGGATGAACATTGTTAAATAAGAAAATGAAAATGCAAACAGGATTATTGTTTACTAATTTAATTTATGAGTCAAACAATGCAGCCACATTCTTGAAATGAAAAGGCATTTCTGAAAATGCTTTTTCATTTGAAATATGTTAACGATTTCCTTCCTTACTCTGGAGCCTGAAGCGGTCCTTTGCAACCTCTCTAATGGCTCCTAATAGCGGTCTAAAATTGTATAAGGAAGCAACAAATGTTTTAAAATACAAGTTTGAGTTTTTAAAGAATATCTGAATTTTCGGAAAATCATAAAAAAAAATCAGAAAGATCTACTTTTCTTGTTACTAGTTTACAAATGACGTTCCTTTTTTATCAAATAATATCCATTGTTTATCTTTACAGAACATTTCGTGTTCTTCCACATTTTTAAAGCTAAATATACTGATAAACTATCAGCTGTTTTAAATGACAATTGATTTCCTAGTTCAGATATTTATTAAAAAAAAATATATATATATAAGCTGTGTTTCATTAGAATTTAATCACAGAAGCATTGCTAGAAAAATTTTATAGGGGTGGCCAGGCATTAACCAATGTACGCTGAGGGGTGGCCGAAAGTGGATAGGTGCCAGAACCTCAGGGTCAATCTACACTGTTCCAACAGGAAATTTAACGAGCACAACATCCATATTCGCTAAATAAAGACTGACTATACATCCCCACACCCTCTCCTAACAAATAGACGCATATATTTCAACATCCTTGCTTTCTAGATTAAAGGTATAGTGGAAACAATTCTTTCAGGTTAGAGTTCTGTGGTGAAATCTTTTCCATTGTCATTACTTACCTACTTAAATCAATATTCATTATGCATAAAATTTACATTTACAAGCACTAATATCTACATAAATTGATTATTTAATATGTTTTTAGTAAAATAGTTATTTATCTATGATTTCACTGAAGACTCCTAGATGATTTGCAGAGACACATAATTTTCTCTTTACCCCATATAACACAAAATCTAGTTCTGAAAAGAGCATGAATTCTGTACTTATCGTCTTTAACATGAGTACATTGATGTGCATAATTAACAACAGAGTTTTTGTTGTCAAGTTATTGTTAATGGATGAAAAATTTAAATGTTTTGAATATTCTGCTTGAGAGTGTTACTGCTGCCAACATCTGTATTAGAAGGGAAAAAATGGTAGGGGTGGCCTCAAGGGTGGCCAATGATTGGCTAAGGGGGGCCATGACCACCCCTGGCCCCCCATCTAGCTCTGCCGTGGTTTAATCAAATATATGTGGCTCTGGTTGACCTTTTACTCATCAAAATGAGATCTAAACGTTTCTCAGTGATTACAATTTTTTTTTTTATGCAGTTTTTTTAAAATACATTCCCTAGAAAAACACAATTTCCACAAACGAATCCTTTCCTTTTATTCAAAGTGAATAAAGGTTAAGTTTGAACAAAGTATGTTTTATTGGGCATGCATATATATAAAGGTAGATATTTAAACTTTGAAAAATAACAGTTTTTCCCTAACAGATTTTTCCGGATAAAAAAAAGGTATGTGAAAAACTTCTACAACATTAAAGCTTGAAAGATTTCAAATATTAATATTTTGTCTTAACTTTTAAAATCTCAATAAGTGGATCCTTTATTAGGGTCATATCCACATTTAAAGATACCATATTTAGGCACTTGAATAATAAATGAAAACCCAAATATTGGGAAGATTATTACAATTCGTAATTTCCTTTAATCATTTAATTTTCTGTAAAGAAATAGCAATTTCTTCCTTTTTAAAGCAATTCCTTTCATTTTTACAACCTAAATAACGCAAGACAGATATATCAGATTCACAGAATCGATGTTTTAATTTCTTGAAAGGTGGATTCTTTTAGATGTCATTACAAGTTCAAGTGCATCTCTGGGAAATGTTTACTTAAATGATCTGAAACAGAAATAACACAGCTTTACAAAACATGGTATTTTTAAAAAAAATCAAAAAGCCTGTGAGAAATACTGACAAAGGTATTGAGCAAAGAACACCAAGGTCAGGCAGACTACGTTCACACTGCAGGCATTAATGTTTGATTCTGATTGTTTTGTGTGGTCATTGATTGCTTTGTTAATGCACTGGCTCCATAGGAAAAGAGATGAAAGATGACTCGATGTGGTCCAATACTACCATCCATGTTTACTTCCATAAACGCAGAGCAAGCTCGCTGCTTGTGACATCATTGCGTCTTTGCAGAGGATGTGGGACGCTTAAGTTGTATGAATGCAGTTCACACAGATCATTTAAAAGTCACATATATTTGGAAATGTGAACAATCATGCAAATCAGAATCAGATTTCACAAAAAGGAAAAAGAAAAAAGTAAAATCAGCAATTAATGCCTGCAGTGTGAACATCGAGCCCTAACAGGCTTTGTAGTTGCAGGCTTTTAATTCAGAATTAAGTCGATCCCAAAAGCGACTGTGGCAAAAGTAAAAACAAGATGCAAATTTATTTTCAGAGGATAATTTATTCGCTTTAGCTGCAAACTGAAGATCTGGCCTGGACTTTAAAGGAGTTGTACCATATCCCAACATTTAAAATAATTACAATCAAGCTTAAAAGCAACAGCATAATACCAAACATTTAGAGACACTGTAACCAATTTCCACTTGTATTGCTTAAAAATAAACAGTAGTTAGTGAAGCCCATTTTAAAGGACAAGAATAAGGAGTAATGTCGCCTCAGTGCCGTAAAATCTCCAAAATACAATTGTACCTCTTACTGTCATCATTGCACAGAGACTGATAATATGAAGTGGCTATTTAACAAGAACTCTTTACAAAAAAAAGGCCGCAGTCCTTTCAGGACATACAGTGGGGAACCAGGGTGTAAAGTAATAATATTTAAAAAAACACCTAGAGATAAAGGCAAACAGTACACAGTCTCACTTAAAATGAATAAAACAACATTTTGTGCTGCAATGATTTTGTTATGACATGGATTGACCCTAAAAACATGAATCTATGTCCATGTTACCTAGCACATTTGGCTAGGACTGCAGTGGAAGTGCAAAACCGAAACATTAAAATAAACACACACACATCCATATAAAACCAGTCTACACTATAGGAGAGTGCACATCATCTGCACTGACCTCTGATATTAACAGTGTGACCAACATCACAGTACGGGTAGTACATCCACGAGTGAATGGCTTTTCTGTATCCACCGATTGCCTCAAGTACCAAGCTTTCAGCTTTTACTTTCTTCATAGAATATCACAGAATATCACTGCTTTACAGCATCTCAAGTTTCCTTTCTCCAGCTGCCGTGATATGTGTCCTTAAGAGCTGAGTTCAGGCATTTAAAACTGAATCCATCCAAGTTTCACAAGAAACAACCTTTTTAGGACGGTTCATTAAAACACATGAGTAAGGACATTAGTTGCTTAGTTTTGCAGGAAGAAAAATGAGGTAAACAATGAGTCTGTGTTTCTTTCCACAAGCAACTCTTACGCTTTACACCAATCAGATGGGTAAATTTAGAGTTGTACGTAGGTAGATGCAATGCCGTTTCCTGTATTTGTGCAAAGCAACACGTTACCGCCTCCTGCATCATACTCACACATAAACTGATCCTTTCTTTTCAGAAAAAAAAAACAGATTAACAATAGCATTAAAAGCTTTAATGCAAAATTGCTCTATAGCAAAGTTCTTCAAGGCAACAAATGTTCTGGCGTGTTCATTAAAACCAAAATCTCAAGTTTCTGAACAATGCTTCATGTGTACTGGCACTCCATAAGCTTCATGGCCAAATGACACGCTGACGGAATATTAATTTAAAATACACATTATGAATTTACAAGTTCTCTACAGCAATAAAATTAAATATAGCACAATATAAAAATACACAGCACTGTTGGAGAAAGGCAGTTCAAATAAGTGGCAGAGTCATCGCCATGAGTTGCTTGAAGGTGACTGAGCGATATCTAAAGTCACGGCGCAGGCTGCCTGCAGCTCGCTCTCTGCTGAGTAATGCAATCAGGACATGAACTTTCTGTTTCCACTGCACTTTGCAAGAACTGATGGTTTTCAAGTAGCAACCTCCACTGTATCCAGGTTATATTTATGGTCTGGGTTGGCAAAGACAGTTCCTTTGCAGATGAAAATAAAGTTAAAAGGAATGAATGTCCTTTGCTTCGAAAATGCCTGTGTTGTAATGACTCAGTGTCTTTGGATGCCTCTGTTTAGTTGTTTCATAGCCACTGGCCTGTAAACATTTGCTGACAGCTGTGTTTAAATGCCATGTCATATAGATAAAGATATTTCCTATTTTCTTCAGTCTATAAGTTAAAAGTCATTATTCTTGGCATTTTTTTCACCACTGCAGTGCTCTTTATGGTCTGTTATCTTTGGCCAATGAGTGCATCATCCAGTTGACTTTCGTCTTCCAGCTCTCACGCAAAGCTTCGTTGAACTTCACCTTGAAACTCTTCAGCGCTTCGTCCTCGGATTTACCCAGAGCCAAGGAATCCTGTTGAAAGCAAGAACCAAAAGAAAAAAAACAACATTAACAAGATTTTCATCATTAATGTAAGCAGCAACATTACGGTGAATAAAACACAAAGAAATATATCTGCTTCGTCTGTCATTAAAAGCCAGGTTCAAAGACTTTGTGGAACCAGTGGCCTGAAATTACAGTGATGAGACCAGATAGAAGGGAAGACCTGCTGGAAGGGTTTCAAACAGCAGGAGTTGCATATATCTGACACATGGGAAAAACTTTGGTATTTTTGGTGAAGGATATCACTCTGAATCTAACACTGTCTCTTGCCAAATGATTGACGTTTAGTACCTTTAAATACTGGATATCTTTGGAGGAGGTGAGCTCAGGAAGCCCCGCTGCCTTCATCATTGCAAATAAGTTGACAAACAGCGTCCCATTTCGACACAGGATCTTGTAGGCCTGCTCACAGTATTCCCTAAACCTGACCAAAAAAAAGATATGACAGTAGGCATCAGCTTTAAGCATCCAACCCATTCCACCCAAACACCCAATACCAATGTATCATACATCGTTATACCTTTCAAACTTCTCACTGTTGTTCGTCTTTCCTTGCTGGATCACATGGACAAAGTCGTAAGTCAGGATAAAAGGCACACGCTCCCTGTTGATCCCAAGTTTCCTCTTGAAGTTTCCCAGGAAGTGTCCGAAATCAATGTGAAACAGCTAAACATCAAAGATAAGTGCGTTTGTTAGAAAAATATATGATGCAAAGAACCAAATGAACATCTTACTTTGAAGTCCCACCTACTGTAGGTAGCTAGGCTTTTCATTGTGCTTATTAGGATTAAGTGACAGAAAAAATCAGTCATTCTGTTTCTGCAGCCCTGGTTTGACTCATCATGGAGCAGAACTTTTTTCTCATAAGTTTTGTGTAGCTGTAGGGAAATTGAAGCGGGTGTGGCTACTACTCTGCAATATTTCACACTTGGAAAGTCAATTTTTTTTCCACCTTCAGTAAAATAACAACTGTCTCTGTACTTGTAGAATATGCACAGAAAAAAAGAAAAATCCTATTATCGAATGTGAATATTTTGAACCGAACCTGTCCAGTTTCCCGGATCATGATGTTGTCGTTGTGGCGGTCACCGATCCCCAGCACGTAAGTAGCTACACAGTAGCCAGCACAGGAGAGCGTGAATTCCTCTATTGCCTGATCAAGTTTGTCCCTGATGGAACATAAAGTAAGAAAAACAAGGAAGCATAGCTTTAGCATTTTTCATTCTTACAGCACATTTCCTTATCATCATTTATAAACACACAGACAGCCCTGAGGCTGCCAATTTTTTCCTGCTGTTGCATATTGCAGGAAATATTCACAGAGGAGATCCTATGGCAGATTAATGATTGACCGTCACATCCTTTCAGTCTAGACATGCATGGGGTCCACTGTGTTAAGCTTTTACTAATTTTCCCTGCACTGCTTTAGGCTCTGCAGCATTTCAAAAATATTACCTTTCTGTTTTGTCAGCTTGGCCTGTGCTGCCAAGTGACGTACAAAGCCTTTTTTCATTTCGTGCAACAGTCCTCTTTCCTCAAGGAGCTTTTAGAGAATATGAGACCTTCAGACGGTCTGGCACCAAATAAAAATCTACTCTAGTTTATTGTTCCAGGAGTTGCCTGCACACTTTGTCCCATCCTGCTGCAGTACTAAAAGTCCAGCTCAGGAAATCAGCAGCACAGACCACACAGGATCAGCACAAATCCACACACTGCATCCCCCAGCCCAACCGCAGCAGCTACTCAGAGGTCAATGACATGAATTGAATATTTTAGTCAGGCAAAGATATTTCATTAATTGGCGTTGAGAGCCAGAAAGCAGAATTGAAACTGGGAAGTACAAGCAAAGATGGATACCTCACTACGGGTTATAAGAACTGAAAGATTTCCTGACAGAGCAGCTATGAGAACTTTGTCTGCTTTGGTTAGCCCAAGAACTGTTTGGAGGAAGGAGGGGGTGGGGGTGTGGGGGTGTGTTAGACAAGCAAATTGATGGCCAGCATTCTTTGTTACTGTGTTGCTATAATGAAACAATCATACTGATCAAAACAAGACACTCTTCACGTTCCAGAGTCTTTCTATAGACACCTAGATCAGCTCTGGTTCCAGCTATTGGTTCAATGTATCATTTCAATAAAGATTTAAAAAAACAAAATTAGGAAAAATCAATTAATAGTTATACATATGAACTTTTGTTTTGGCTAACCTGACATTTTCCCCCCAAAATGTAAATGGCCATTAACTGGGACCTGTGTGTGCTGAAGCTAAAAAAATCATGGTGTTTATTTATACTGATATGGACTGAGTGATGTGTTAGGAACATAAGGATGCCACATCATTTGATGGAAATGAAAATGATCAACCTACAGAGGGCACAATTCAAAGACACCCCAAAAATTGAAGTGAAAAAATGATGCGGCAGGCTAGTCCATTTTGCTGAAATTTCATTGCAACGACTCAAAATGGCGCCCACGTGCATGTGGTACCTGTGGTCATTGGGGCACACGGGGCACTGACCCCCAAACTTCAACTCAAGCTCCCAGGCCTCTGGTAGAGGACCTGAGCTTGGAGGAAAAAAAAGGGGAGACCGCCAGCAGAGGGTGAGGCAGAGTTATTTATATATATATATATATATATATATCTGTGTGTGTGTGTGTGTAAATCTGCTTAAATTGGTTCTCTTTTTTTTATCCCTACCAAGAACCCACTGAATCTGAATCCGATGTTCCTTTTCGCCCCACACAGATTCAATGAGGAGAAACCAGACTTTCGGGGCAATTTTCAGAAAGAGAAGGCATTAAAATTCAGAGCAGCTGTTTCATATTGTCAGTAATCAGAGTAAAAAATAATCCAATTACGGCTAAAAATGTACATATTCATTTTCCGCTGTGTGTAACAAGGAAACTCTCTGATGTAGCAACACATGTTGGTTTCTATGCTTGAACTCTTAAAGATCTGATTATTTGATTTTTTATTTCTTTGAGGATTTTTATGTATTTATTTTTTTTTATTTAGTATTTTAGTTTGATGCATTTATTTCTTCTTATATTTGAGATGCTGTAATGTTCCAGTGCTGCAGCAAATAAAGGTAATTAAAACACAAATTCATCATGAGAAAAATAAAAGTGCACAAGATTTGGTCTGATTGATGTTAATATTAGATCAACACATTAATTATAACAAGGCAAGCGTCAAACATATTTTATGAGGAGGACATTTGTAGCAAATTTCAGTCAGCTGTAAACCAGCTCACAGTAAATCATATTAGTGTTTTTTTGTGCTGAAATTAATTTTTTTAAAAATGTTTTTTGAAAACATTTACATTTTTAATCACTCGTCTAGTTTTAAATGATGAAGACATCCAAAAAGGATAATACTGCGCCTGCCTCTTTAAGTTGTAGTGAACACGCTACAGCTGATGAAAAAGATGGCATGAGCTTTTTTCAGATTTTCAACATGTGAAATAAATGACGGGGTTCTCCTGGGAACACTTGGGACGTCCTTTTGTTGAACTGGGGCCACTTTTTGGTAAAAAATTAGCATAGTTAAAATAAAGCAAACCAACTGATCCTGAGGGGTTTCTGAGACACTTCAATTAATCCTTCAGGGCAAACGAAAGGCACCAACTGAGAAATGTTTGGAATAAATGGAAATTATGACTTCCAGATGGAATAATACTGTTTCTGCTTAGTTTAGAAATAGTATTTAGATCGTTGTTTTTGGGTTAAAGTTGAAACGACTCACCCTGGGTTCTTGGATTTCAGCCAATTCAGCAAGGCATCCTTGTTAAAGGCAGCAGTGGCCGCGCTGTTGCTGCTGTTCCTCTGGATGTTGGCAATCGTGTCGGAGTTCTTCACTATCTCGATGAGTCCCGTTTTGTTTCCGGTGGACAGGCAGCTGTACGGGATCATCCTGAAAGTCCATGTTTCAGTCAGTGGGATTTTGTTAAAGCCTTTTTTTTGTTTTGAAATAATCAAAAACAACAAGATAATTTGATCCCACCTGAGATCCAGATTCTCTTTCTTCCAGAGATTCTCCATGAGTCGGATCATCTGCAGGGTTAACATGTCCTGCCGCAGATCTAGTAAAATAAAATAAAAGCGGGAAAAATAAACCTTATTCTAAAACTAACAGGGAAAAGGTGTTGGCACCATAAGAATGCTACACATTTTAGCCATATTCAAACTGGAAGCCTAACCAACACAAAGTAGGACATAACTGTGAAAAGAAAGGGACAAAGTTGATGACCATTAGAATAGGAATCATTAGAATAGGCAGCCTATTGTAATCTCTGTATGGATAGAACTGTTAATTCTGCATCTATATTCAGCTCCCACAGATTATTTTGGGTTTGTCTTTATTTTGTACAAAATTTAAAATATTTGTTTTGACAGGTTCTCCTATCTGCAGCTCCTCCTGGGTTACCCTGGGCCTCTTGACTTGCTTTTCAGATGATTCTTCCCATTTACCAGCATGTGATTTTAAAGGTGGGCAAACACATCTTGATTGATTTTCAGAGGAGTCGTAACCCTCCTATTTTAGATTTTATATTGACTTCCATTTGCCATCATTTGCACTGGATTTCATTAAATGGTACCAATGATAATGGGGCATCTAAACTCAAATGAACAGCACACTGCTCAGATTTGTTTGGGTTAAAATTCTTAAAAACAACAAGCATTTTCCTTCCAGTCTGCAATTCTGCACTGCTGTCTGCCACATTAAGTCAATATAAAAAGATCATAACGCTTCTGGTTGTATCATTATAAAGTTTAGAAACGTTTAATGTAAGTAATGCAATTAGTTTTTTTATCGCTTTATTTTCCAGGTTATAAACTGTGACATCAAATTCAGAACTAAACATATTCAAAGGTTGGACATGATATAGCAGACTTTTAATTAGTACCTTCTGCTTAACCTAAATGAGTTTTCGTTCTTTTGCAACAAGGTTTGAGGTTTTTATGTTGGTTTGTTGTGTTTCTCACCGTCTCCACTTTTGAAGATGATGCCCACCATGTCTGCTTGTTCCAAAGGGTTCTTGTACATCAGCCAGAGAGGCTTCATCTTCGAGTCCATAAATCGACACTTATCAGCACTGTGAAAAAATTAAACTATTATGAAACATGTCACCGTTTAAAGAGATCTCATGGTACGCAAAATTCAGATTCTTTTTTCTTGTTTCAATTTTAAAGTTAAAGTTGTTACTTTCAATATCTAATTAATATTTCTAGTCAAATATAACAATAATGCTGTAGAAATGATAAAATCAAGAATAAAAAAAACAAAAATCTTAGGATTTTAGAAAGAGTTAACAAAAGGGAAAGCATTGCCTGATGTGTATTAATGTTACATTTTGGGTTTGTTTCTGTTCCATTTATAAAAAGAGAGACAAAAAAAATATTGTCATTGGACAAAATCTGCTGTTTCTGTGTATAATGCTAACCAGATCGCAAACAGGATGACGCTGGGGTTGAGCGGCGACAGCAGGTCAGACAGCGCCTCCATGTATGACTCCTGTCTGATGCACAGCTTCAAGTCGTCCACGGTCATTTTCTGGGCCGTCTTGACGATGTCGCTCAGGGCCTTCATTTTACCCAGAGCCTCGTTCTGTATGGAACAAATTGAGCTTTAGAGCAGCAAACACATTTATTATAGAATCAAAACACGGAAATAATAAACAAGGCTGTTACCTGTTTGGATAAAAGCTTGATGTGGTGGATGTTTCCCCTGCAGTATGCTTCCAGAATCAGACCAAAACGTAAACTCACCGATGCCACATGGATCTCAGATCTACAACAAATCCAGAAATGTCAGAAAGAAAAAAAAAAAAGGTTGAGCACATGAAGTTGATTTTAAAATGCTGTCATTAGTTCAAATTGTTTCTCACTTAAGATGCCAAAACAGAAAGTGTCCTATCCTCCTGTTGGACAGCGCCCTTTCCAGCAGGAAGGTGGCGAGATCACAGTCCAGGTAGGACTCATATTTCAGCACCTGGACCAGCTGGATCAAATACTGTAACAGCTCATCATCGCTGTGGAAGGAAAGAGAATTTAACTTGTGCTGATCAGCAAAAATATGCATTTAAAGGCTTTCTTTCCCCTTGGAAGACAAATTCTTTATGTACCTGAGCTTCTTGAGGCATCTGATGGTGAAGGACCGTACTGCTGGGTCCGGAAAGCTGTAGTCCAACAGCTCCAAGGCATGAATGGCAGGAAGTTCAGGCCAGCTTTTCAGTAAACCCACCATCTAACAAAAACAAAATGAACCTTTTCAATTTCAATTAGGACCACCACGGGATAGGCATTCTGATCCTTACTCTGACTTTACTAATAAACTGCTACTAATTGGATTTTTGAATCTCAATAATACTTCAAACCGTATATTCCGGGCAAATACCAGTTTCTGGTTTTCTATGAGATCTGATTCCCCCTTTTTAGAAGTGAAAGACAAGTACGTAACATGTACCACAGGTTCCTTCACAGATGCTGCATTTTTGGATTCTTATGGGAAACCCAAGATCATCCGCATTTACGTATGTGTCGCTCATTTTGATCAGACCCTTCATAAATTCATAGATTTTAAGAAACAGCTTATCTGAAAATGTACAACTGTTTTAAGTTTTATTGAGCAATATTCACAGGATTTAGTCATTTTGATTCATTTAATAAGTAAAAAAAAGTCTGATTTTTCAGTGTTCAACCGATTAACTTAAAATTGGCCCATTCAGAAATTTGGCTGCTTGATTGTTGGATTTTGCTTTCAGTTAGATCTACGTGCAAGAAATATATATAGGTCTGCTTCAGAAATAGGAAAACGTTCACCTCTTGTTTTATAAAATCCTAAATATTACATCTAAGATGATAAACGTAAAAGAAAATGGCAAAGCTTACATTTATGTATAACAAATCTAAAAGCAAAACAAAAATACCGGTATATGTGTTAAAGAAAGGCATTTTCCTTAGAAGTCTTCGATGCCAAAAAAATAAATAAAAGAACAAGATATTCTGGTTGATTTGAAACTAAAAGCCATAATAAACAATATTTGCCAAAGGTGTTTTTCTGCTTATCCTCATAATGGGAAAGAGAGGGGAACATGACGTTTCAAGTAATGCAGTATGTGTGAGCTATGAGCTGAAAGACCAAAAAGCTCAATTCAAAAACTCAGCTAATTATCTCCATACCTGAACTACGTCCTCACGCTTGTTCCACTTCGTGATGAGGAGCAGCTTGGACAAGCACTCGGGGAAATAGTCACGGACCTCTGCACGCAGCTTCCACATGAGCTCTTTCTCATCCTCAAAAAACTCAGTGTAATTTTTGTTGTCCATAATTTCTTTTAGTCTTAAGTACTAAAAAACGACAAAAAAAAACAACAAAAAACATGAAAATCAGTCTTCAGTAAGAAACGCAGTGTTCAGGTTTTAGAAACGCTTTCTGATTTTATTATCTTACCTCATCTTTAGGGGGGAAAACTGTTTCGCCGTTCCTTTCTGGATTGATAATCTGAAAAAGGTAAGGGAAAAAAAGATTTTAACAAGTTATTTACAAGAGTATCGTTTTTACTTAAATATTTATTTTCAAGAGTTTCATTTCCATTATAATTTTTTTATTTATTATTTTATTCTGAGAAAATGTATTTAGAAAAGGTTAAGGTTGTACATATAGATTAAGGATAAGATACCTTGTCAAGTGGAGGGTAATAGAGCGGGTGAGGCCGGATGTTTGGGAAGCGAATGAGGAGCCCAGCAGCGCTGTCTACATTGGGGTTCTTCTCGACTGTTCCCATTGGGTTCAACAGGTCACTTTTGTCATCTGTGGTGAAAGAAAATATAAAATAAATATTTCTGAGCTCTGATTGAGGTGACGTTACAATTTTTCTATTTTAGCTTTAACATAAAAAGGGTTGAATACATATTAAACAGCTTTACTTTACTAACATGCTTCTGAGACAAACAATCAACAGCTGCATCCAGCCAGAGAGGGTGTGTGGACCAATATGTGTGGTTCAGTTTCTACTACTCCCCACGCTGGGTATTTCTGATGGCATCATTTCTTACCCAGGTGTTTGCAAAAGATGCTGTGAACACGTCAGGCCGTTTTTAGTGAGACGGAAATGCAAGATTAGGCAGGAAGTACCTGGTACAGATGGCCACATGGATAAGAGGAACTCCCCGGTCTTCAGCTGGTCCTTGTAGTCAAACACCATGGTGTTCACCCAGGCAATGGGACAGTCCTGGAAAAGAGCAGCAGTGGTGGTTGGATTTCACTGTTAAAACAAACTGCAAAAACAAAGCAGTATTCAAATCGTTTTTTTTTTTTTCTTTTTACAAATGAATAAAACCTTTTAAGGGAAAATTGTTCTTTACATATTTGTTCATTTTTTGCTTTATTGCTTAAATTTTGAGCTCAAACAAAGTTACCTTAAACACAGAAGCCTTTTCATAAAGATAATTGTACACTGCAACAAAACTGACATCTAAATAAGTCACCTTTATCTTAAAAGGAGTGCTTTTTGTTGTGAATTGAGGAGGTAAGTGACACACTTTGCCAACGGAACAAGACAATTTACTTCTGAAAAAAGAAAAAAAAAACGATTGCATACTCTTTTTTTTGAGTGCGTATGATCTAATTAGCTTATTTTAAGAGTAAAAATACTCCTTCCATTGGCAGATCATATTTTTTACCTGTTCAGATTATGGTAAATACACTTAATTTAAGACATGTTTTACTTATTTGTTTAGGGCCAAAATACATTTCTGACCTGCTAGTACACTATAACCCCCCCCCAGACCTCTAAGGTCATCTGGGACAGGTTTACTTTCTGTTCCTAGGGTCAGAACTAAACAGGGGGAAGCAGCTTTCAGTTTCTATGGTCCTCACATCTGGAATAAACTCCCAGAAACATGCAGGCCCGCTGCTACTCTCAGTTCTTTTAAATCAATGCTGAAGACCTTTCTTTTTGATGTTGCCTTTCTCTAAATGACGTTCATTTCTTTACTGTTTAATCTCTTATACTGCACTGTAATTTTTATTCTTGTGTTTTATTTTGTTTTTATTTTGAACTGTTTCTTCTGTGTTTTATTTATCTTTTAACTGATTTTATGTAAAGCACTTTGAATTGCCCTGTTGTTGAAATGTGCTATACAAATAAATCTGCCTTGCCTTGCCTTGCCTTATTTGTAGATCGTTTTCGCAGTCCATCAGTGGGAACATCTTATCCAAACCAACCTCCCCCCATGTTAAACATTAATTGGTCCCATTGTTATATCGTTATCTTACTGTAATGAACAACATTATTGGAGCTTAATTCCAGCCTGATTTATTAATCCAAGAAATCAATTAAATTTAACAAATTTCTGATTACAGGAGTCAGTATTACAAAAAACAAATAAATAAAAACCAACACATAATGCACCCCCTTCCTTTTAAAGAAACAGAGGAGAATAAAAGTCCTTGTTTACCTCTTTAACATCTATATTAACAAATCCAGCATTAACATAGTGTATAATCCCAAGAAGAGCAACATCATGGTTGTTAGAAGCAAGGAAAATAAACATCAGATAAATCCTATATTCCTCTTCTATTGTGCTGTTCCAAAGATATGTAATGAGGTTAAGTCTTTGGGACGCCACATAAATGATGATCTGTCAGGCAGTGTTGTATGATGTATGAATAAAGTAACATGCTGGTCAGAAAATTTTATATGTGTTCCCCCACAATAAAGTACCTTCTTTTAAAGTCTTCTGTATTCCAATGTACAAATCTATGGCAACAATACAAAAGAGGCAGCATGCACAAACTTCATGTAGCCTACAGTGATGAGGCTACTGCACAAAACTACCTAGATAGAGCAGTGCTACTGTAGCCGCCTGTTTGCAAGTGTTGGTGGACCCACAGGTCCTCATATGTATAGATATTCTGTGTCATGTAATGGCATAGTTGCCATTGTAGTAAAACCTGCACTGAGGACATTCAGATTTACATTGAGATTTTGGAATCACTGACATCACCATTTGTTGATGACTGAGTGTATATTATCAAGCTCTGTGACCTTTAGAGGCTTTTATTTATTTGTATGTGTTTCCTTTTCTTTCATTTTACTATGGACCATTTTTGTGTCTTAAATAAATTTTGATTGATTGAGTCAATGATATAAATATCAGTCTGGAAAAGGTCACTCAGTCTTTTCTATGTGTTTAAAATTCCAGAGAACCACAGACTACATTTACAAACTGAGGAAATAAGGAATTGTAGTAAGCATATCCAGCATTGTCAGGCAGACTAAAATTACTCCTAGTAACTAGGGCTGAACGTATTTGCCAAAAATCGAAATTCCAATAATTGCATGCAATTATTTGTAACCAAATTGCAATTTTATTTCGATTTTTCTTTGCACTAACCCCAAGCTTGTAGATGCCTCATCGAGTGAAAAAGTGTTTACTTCGACTTGCATACATGGATCTGCGTGCTTGCTGCAATTTTCTCTACTTTTCTATTTGCCGACAAACCAACTTAAAGCATTTTGCCACCATCTAAAGGGCTGCAGGGAGAAATTTTGTGTCTTTCTCATGATAAATATATTGTGATTAAAAATCAGTGCCTCTGCGATTTGAGAATTGTGTTTTGTGAAAATGCGGTTATAGTGCAAATGCAATTAATTGCCAAGCCCTACTAATAACATGAAGGTCTCATCCAGGAGATCACAAAAGATCCGGGACCGGCCTAAACAAAATCAGAGCTAATCTGGTTGATATGCAGAACAAGGACAGATACAAGTGTCAGAATAAAAAAATAAATAAAACCATACTCTTCAATAGTGATGCTAAAGACTTATGTTAAAGACGAGGACAGCTGTCAGATTTAAGAGGAAATTACGTTTTCACATGAAGTGAAGTTGCTTTAGATAGTTCATTTTTTTACAGTTTAAAAATAATCTAATCCTATTGTAAACACTGGCCGTTTAAGAAGTTCACATAACTGTTGATATAAATTTTTTTAGATGAACTGACAAATGGAGAAATCCATCAGGGGCTAAATAATTTCTCTTAGTTTGTCGATCCATTAATAGGTTTCCTTCACTAACATGTTCCTCACCAAAAAAAAAAAAAAAAACACAAAAAAAAAGACTCTGGCTAATATTTCTGTCGTGTTGCATAAAAATAAAGTTCCTGGCAGGCAGCAGAATAACAACTTTTCTTATTTCATCATTTTCTAAGCAACCAAAAAAATGAAAAATCTGAGTCGAGATGCAGGCAGACGAAAACAGAGGCACAAACAAACAAGCTAAAATAGCCCAGCTTCCGGCTGCCGCTCTGCTGTCTGGCTGCAGGACTTCTCTTCCGGACATCAGAAGAGAGAAGTAACTCAGAAAGAGGAAGTGGCCTCCATGGCCTGGAACCACACCTGGGCAGCTTGTTCAGGGAGGTGCACCCAAACATTCTGCCCACAGCTCCTGCAGCGATGTCATAACAAAATATGTTCAGACCACAACTGCAGAAAAAAGGGGAATTTGTTCACTGAGTGGGCGTAAAAAAACTTCTTTATCTTTCACGCTGGTTTCACAGGGTGGGGGCAGAAAATATCACTGTAAAAAAATGGACAGAGGAAAACACCTTTCACTTTCTGAGATATCTAAATTAAGATGGGAAAGTGCTTTTTCTAAATAACAAGAAGGTGGAGTCAAGGTAGAGGTCTTCATGCAGGTAGTCCGTTTGGCTTGAGTATTTGAAAACAACATTTTGAATCCCTTTTTATCAGAGATTTAATTCCAGTTAGTGTGCTCCTCTTCAATGAAACACCTCCGTGTGTCCTCACACAAAAGTGACACCATCCTACACACAGAGAGCCAGCACCTCATGGTGGTACTGTTTGTGCGAGGAGGTATTAAGTACAGTAGTCCACGTTTTCACTTTGATATTTTCTGAGTCATATCTTATTCATGCTAAATGCTTGGAGTTTTTTAGAGACAGGGGAATCATGACCCTTTTTAAATCTGATAAAAATGTCCTTAATGTTTGCTTTTATTTTAAGATTTTTACATAAAATTACTTTTATGTTATCATGTTTTATGTTATTTTAAAGATCACATTTTTTCTTTAATTACCAGTCTTTAAATTTGTTTTGCAATCATAAATTTGAAAATTATTTCATACAGAATATTTTGTCGATTATGTTTTTTTCTTTTTTTTCACTTTGATTTGAATAAATCTTTGAGAAACAATTTTAATTTTCCAAAATAGTTTTAATCATAGGTGTTCAAGCTCATTGGATACTAAATATCATCCTCTGTTCTTCACTGGTATGACCATATTTGGTAAAAGCATGAACAGCTCTAACCTTTGTATCCTTTTTTTCCAAATATTTGTAGTTTTTAATGTCTTGTCTCTTTGTGTGTAGCATTTTGGCTCTAAACTGGCTTGAAAAATTATTTAAAATTGAATTGAACTTTGTTTCTAGATCAGACTTTCTAGGATAGTGGTTTGGAAATTGAAAGGTTAAATGCAAACCTCCCCCCACACAGACATCATGTTCCCCTTGGTAAGGCATTGCACCTCAAGTTGCTAACTGGTACTGCACGTGGTGAGCCATACTTGCAAGGTAGAAAGCAATTTTCAATCAAATTAACATCTACCAGTTTATTCATTTATTCATTAAAGCATTTTTCCCTGTTTCAACCACAAACTTCAATGTAGTTAATAAAAAAACTGTATGTGATAGACCGCAATACAAATCAATCAATAATTGGGAAGTAAAATAAAAGAGGATAAATGTTTTTCAAGATTTCTACAAAGAAAATTGAGAGGCTCCTGGAAGCTCTGGAGGAGCTGCAGAGATGTGCTGCTCAGGAGGGAGAATGTTTTTAAAAGATAATTGTTCATCTTAGACTCCTAAGTGACATTCTATGCAAAATTGTTTATTGTCAATAGGGTTGTCAAAAGTATCGATACTCAAAAAAGTATCGATACTGAAATGTTGTATCCGAATACAATACTCGTTTTAAAAAGTATCAATACAGTGCCACCACCAGTGGCACCTAAGCAGTCATTCATCTAAAGTGCAGAATAGAGGACAATGCACTTTCTGAACACTATGTGATTGAATAATTCTGTGCACTTTTCAGTTTCGGACTTTTTTTTTTTGTAAGAGGTGCAGCTGCTGAGAATCATTTTTGTT